CGGGCCGGGCGGGCACGCAGGCGGGTCTGGACGCATATATCGCAATTTGGGTCGTGGTCTGCGTGGCCTCTCCGAAAATGAGACAGCAAGGCCGGATCTAGCTCGCTAGACGGCCCTTTGTCGGGAAGACCCTCTGGGAGGTACAACATAATCTTGTCTTGGCCTGGGTTTTCCAAGAACTTCAACACGGAATCCTGGGAGTCCACCAGCACGACGGGCTCCTCTCGCACGGCGTAGCTGGAATACGTTTCGAAAGCGCTAGCCGGCCTGTCCGAAGGCATCTGGCGCGGTGCGGGTTCAGCCGGCCGTGACTCAGCAGCTCGACTGTTGCCGCCACCACCCGCCAGAGGCTCTGCACAGAAGGAGCCCTCGTGGACTTCAGCCGGCCGTGACGCAGCAGCTCGACCGTCGTCCATCTTAGGGCCATTTCCGGTGCTCCGACGAGGGTCCAAATACGCCGATAATCCGCCGCCATGGCTTGGATTCGCCCTCGATCGATTGTCCCAGCCACGGTCCGTTCTAGGGCCGTTGTCCCGGCCAGGCGCCGCACCGGGTAGTCCACCAGGTTCGTCTCCTCCTCTTCCCCCTCCCCTTCCCCATGATGATGGTGACGAAGATGGTAATGGTGGAGGGGTAGGTGTAGTACTTGTAGCGACGAGGATGAACAAGTTGCCAGACCTGTGAAGGAAGAAAGGGGTCCCGGCCGGGTCCGTCAAGACGGCGCCGGCTCGAACCTGGCGGTATTGCCATTCGTCGTCCGTCAGCAAGACGATTGCCAGAAGGGAAGATGTCGTTGTTTTGCACATCAGGACGCCCTGAAGGAGAACGCCTCCGCACACAACGTCGCACTGGTGCGTGACGACGGTCTCGCCGTTCGCGGTTTCAAGGATGAGGGGCGCGTCGAGAGGGCGGATGTTCCTGGCATGCCAGAAATCCTTGCCTGCCAGCACGTGTCTCTCGGCGCCCGAATCCGCCGCCATCGCCAGGGGCGAATCCGCAGTGACGCTGTTGACCCCGAGGGTGAGGGTGGGAGTGGAGATTCGGGGCATGTTCCCAGACACACGCTCCAGAATATCCTTTACTGCTTTGTAGTTGGTTTTCTGCTCGTTCATCAGTTGCTGCGCCATGGATGCCAATGCCTCCACTGTTACTGTCGACTGTTGTTGCGGTGGCGCCGATCCACCGCCCGACGAAGACCCAGCCGAGTCCCCGTATCCCAACGTGCCGGCTCCGATCCGGTTACGCTTTCTGCTTTCGTCGAGCCCTGGAGGCGCCGATGGTGGCATGTTGTTGCCCCATCCGTTTCCTGCGCTTTCCCAGTTGTTGTTGAAAAAGGCGTCCCCTTTCCCCTTGCTCTGCCTAGGCCCCACCCCAGGCATTCCCTTTGTTGCGTTGCCCCTGGGCCCCACCCCGGGAGCTCCCTTGCCAGCGCTGTTCACGTAGGGGCACTCGTTACCCCAGTGGCCAGGCTCGCCGCAGAGGCGGCACGTGTCCCGAGGAAGGGGCGCGAACCGCTCGTTGTTGGGTGTGGAAGGCTTGGTGTGAACGAACTTGCAGCCTGTGCCAAAACGGCAGTGGCCACTCAGGTAGAAGGAGCATGGAATCCATGCTTGCGTGTCCTTGCCTTTGTCTTTCTCTTTGTCTTTGCCTTTGTCTTTTCCTTTGTCTTTGCGTCTCTCTCTGCCTCCGGGCCGCTCTTGTCCTGTTTGAACGGCTCCGACAAGGACGCTGCTTGGCGGAGCAGGCGGGGCAGGCACAGCGCCGGCCCAGTGCCCAGCCTTGGCCTCTGCCATTTTGAGGATGGCGTCCGGGTTGTCCGGGGAGCTCATCTCCATGATCTCAAGCGGGACCTTTAGGATGTCTAGCTTGCTTAACGGCAGACGCAACGACCGCAATACCGTGTGTTTGGACGGCCCAGAGTCGGCGGCACGAAGCTCGGACAACTCCGACTGCCACAGCTTTAGTGCGTGTTGCAGCTTGCTGTGGTCCTCCACAGGCACAGGTGAAGCAAACTTGTCGTGCAAAGTTGCAGTGTGTGCTGTGGCCGAAGCCATGATAGCATCGTTCAAAGCAGCCAACATGGACACCCCATCTGTGCGGTCGACACCCGTCCAGTAGAGGCTCGTGTCGTAGCTTGCGGTCGCACACAGTTCAAAAGCGAGGTTCTTGTTGGCCTTGGTGAACCGGGGTTCCCACGACGTATCCACGGTAGCGCCGCCCAGAATCGCGAGGACCGCCTCGGCGAACCCTAGTGCTTGCAGGCCACACCATCCAGCCAGCTTGGTCTGGGTCCAAGCGCGCCAAGAAGACACACTTGGCAACGCATGGCCCTTTGTGCCTGCTGGCAAAGCTGGCAGCGAATGCTTGCCGCCGCCGCCTGAAACTCTCATGTCAGAGAGCTCCCGCGTGACCTCTGCGAGGCTCTCCCCCATCCTGCACATGAGGAAGGTGCTGGCGTCCAGGGCGCTCGGGCTCTGCAGTGCGTGTGGTGTGTGTGGTCAGCGTGTCCTGGAACTCTCTCTGTGTGCGGTGGAGTTCCTGTGTAGAAATCCTGGGAAACTCCCGACGCCGCTCTTCCAGCCGGCCGTGACGCAGCAGCACGACTGTCCGAGACAACGCCCGGGTTTTCGGCCCTGTGTGCCGTCGTTTGCGGCGCAGGGGGTGAAAAAGATCGTGTAGACGATCGCGTCAGTACTCTCGAATTCAACCGATCAGCAGCGGGAGGATCATCAAGATCAGGATCGAAATCGGGATCAGGCACTGGCACATCCTGGAAATCGATCGCCATCGCTCGCGCGGGGGCTCATAACCTGCGGGAGCGCGCGGGCCTTTTGCGGGCCTTGAGCCAAACCGCAGCGTGGCAGCAACCCTCCCTCCCGCAAGGAGGAGGAGGAGGAGGAGGAGGAGGAGGGAGAGGGAGAGGGAGAGAGAGAGAGAGAGAGAGGGAGGAGGACAAGATAGGTGCGCGCGCGCCATATCTGACATCCTACCCCTCCCACCCGTCCCTTCCCATTGCGCTGATGTTCATGTTATCATCCGATGCATGTCATAGCGGACCTGGAATTCCAAAAAGGGCCCAATCGCGTTATGCGCGATCGGAAAAATAGAATTGCGCACACTCAAGGAGAAAGTAAGGCATGAGCAGGAGGAAAAGAAGGAAAAGAAGGCGAAGGAAAAGGGGAGGAGGACGACAAGGAACAGCAGCAGCAGGAACTGGAGCGGAAGGAGCGGAAGGAGCAGGAGGGTCAGGGGAAAGCGGAGGAGGGGAAGGGGGGGGGGCGGGCGACAGCAATGAGGAAGGGCTCGGATCCAGAGAAGTGGCCCGCGGTGGGGCCAGGGTGCCACTCCAAACGGCGGGCGCAGAGCGCAGGTCCTAAGATGAGGCCCAGGCTGCAGCGGTACACATCGGTCGTTGAAAGTAGGTATTTCTGGATTCCCAGAACCAAATCTACTTCAAGCGCCTTCCTACTTCAATAATCGATCTGCTCTTGCTGCGCTTTGCTGCTCTCTGGGCGGGCCCGAGCCCAACATACCTCCGCCGCCTTCCTACCTCGTGCTTCTGCCTGCCTCTTCCGACCGATGGGTAGCACCACTTCCTGTCTTCCGTGGGAGACGACGCTCGACCACTCCAGCAGCGAGCCTGGCCCTGGCCGCTCCCTGGCCCACGATCGGCGCACGCGCCTCCCTGGCCAAGCCGAGAGGGCGCACGCCGCCGATCCCCGGGCGCAGGACGGGCCTCGGCAGGGCCGGGGTGCCGAGGGCGGCCCAGGAGTCGGGGGCCTGGAGACGGGGGTCAAGGCAAACGGGTAAAACGACGCGAAGATCGGGACAAAATCGGATCGGGGTAACTCGAAATCTCTGAGAATCGGCGGGTTTGGAGGACGTATTGGGCGCCGCGGCCGCTCCAGAGCGTTCCGGAACGCTCTGAGAGCGCTCCGGAGCGCTCTGGAGCGATGTATCCCGATCCTAGCCCTGTTTTAACGGGGTCAGCCGGAGCGCCAGATGTTGCAGGCTCGTGCAGGGCCCGGGTCGCACTGGCCCGGGCTTGGGCGCAGGATCTTGCAGGATCCTGCAGGATTGGCCCAGGCTTGGGTGCAGGATCTTGCAGGATTCTGCAAGTCCTGGCTGACCCGGGTCTGGATTGGCCCGGGTCAGAAGATCCCCGAAAGAGGGGGTGATGCCTGGGGGGTGGGATGTCATGGCCAGGGCCATATGATGTCTCCCCAGATTTCATGGCGCCCCTTCTTATTTCGATACGTCCCCTCCCCCGCTCCCCCCCCCTGGGCCGCGTACATGCCTCGGGCCATGATTTGCGAACCCCCCTCTTGGAGTCCCCCCTCTTGGAGTCCCCCCTCTTGGACACCCCCATGTGAGGTGATCACTCGACGTCCCCTGATCTCCTCGTGCTCCTCCCCCCGCAGCTCCGGCTCCAGCCGTTCTGACGCGGGCAAGCGGTGCGGGCAGCGCGCCCGTGGCCTCGTGCTCGCTTGCTTCTGCCGCCAGCCCGTGCCAACGCAGCTTCCCCAGCAACATGTGCACCAGAGCGAGCTTGGCACTGGTGCTGGTCGCGCGCCTCCTTGCCGGAGGTGCCGCTGACGATGCAAGTCCGCCCCGAAGCAGCACGACCGCCCTCCATGCGGCGAGTCCGTCGAGGAAGTCGAGCGAAGCCACTGCCGCTGTCGCGGCCATCAGCGCCGTGGAGAAGGCCCTCGCCAAGCTGAGCTCGAGCCCCCAGATGAGCCCGGGCATGGCCAGCGCCGCCCAGCAGGTAGCGCTGGAAGTGGAGCGGGCCGCGCAGCAGGTCGAATCGGGGAGCGGTTCCAAGGCCGAGAAGATGAGGCTCGTGGGCCGCGCCATCTCGTCGTTGCAGAGCCTGAAAGGGCAGGTGGGAGGAGGCCGCCAAGGGCGCCCTGGCGAGGGAGAAGGCTGCCGAGGTAAAGGAGGGCGGCGTGGCGGCCCACGTCGCGGCGCTGAGGGGGGAGCTGAAACAAAAGAGAGCCATGCTGGCCAAGGACGAGGCCATGCTGAAGGATGCCCAGATGCAGAAGGACATCCTCGAGACGGCGGGGAAGGCGGAGGGCGGGTCCAGGGAGGAAGCCCGGCAGCAGGAGGCCGAGCTGGCCAGCCTCGAGGCCATGGCCAAGTCCGTCGCATCGGCGCCGACGGCGGCCGACAAGCAGCACGCGCCGGCGCCCTCGCAGGTGCAGGCGTCCCTGAAGCACGTTGTGGCCGACCTGCGAGCCCGCGCCGAGAATCTGACCGCCGCCCTGGAGCGCCTCGACTCCGACGAGAAGAAGCGTGACGGCGAGCTGGAGACGGTAGCGGACAAGGAAGTGCCCACGCAGGGCAAGAAGGACGCCACTCAGCAGGGTCAGGAGATGTTGACCATGTTGAGAAAGCAGGCGACGCGGAGCTACAAGAAGGCGCGCGCAGTCAAAGTTGCAGAGTTGGCCGAGCTGAATGAGGCGATTGGTAGCATTCAGAGGGGCGACGTCAAGGCACTTTCGAATCTGATGGGCAAGATGCAGCACGAGTCCAAGCAGCTGAACGCCAAGGCCAGGAATTTTCTATACTGATCCGCCGTCCAAAGGCTGAAATGTTCTTTATTGCCCCTCTGAGGTGAGAATTCGAGGCTACCGGGTGAAACCCCAAGTGCCCAAGGCCAAAAGATGTTATTATTTCTTCTCCTCTGCAAGCGTATGGAGACGCAGGAGCTAGAGTATGAGCTACATATGGTGTAATATCCGACCACGTCGCTATTTCTTCCCACCACGCTGCAAACCACAGCAGCGCTTTGCCGTAGTTGGCGACCCCCCGCACGAGCCAATCACATGACAGACATCGACGCATTGGGAACCAGAAGCGACATGGCCCTCGATCAGCCGAGGCCTTACATGAGGTAAGAGCCCGCCCGCTCTAAGTACAGTATGTGTTCGAGCAAGCTGGCCATTGGAGCGCTGTTCATCGCCACGTTCGTCGCGTGAAGAGGTTGGATCGTTTTCATCTTTGCTTCAGGAGGGGAAAAACACACAGACACAAGTAATCGTCGACTCCCAGGGAAAGATGGGAAACTATGGGAAGTGGGGGGCAAGACAAAAACCCAGAAAGTATTGGAAAAGGTTGGGGATCCTGTTATTTGTGCCTGTTTGTTTGTGTGTCCCAGGGCCCCTTGAGTTGTGTCGTTCTCGTATTTGCCCTCGCCCATATCGCGCGCCTCTCCTCAGTGTATCCAGCCCCCCTTGCCAATTCTCATCTCTGGCCTCTTCTCCATGATCCAAGAGGAGGAGGAAGAGGAGGAGGAGGAGTTGGAGGAGGAGGAGGAGGACGGTGTGTTGCATCCTCCTCGTCCTCCCGCTCCTCCTCCCGCTGCTTCTCCTCCTTCCCCCCACTCCTTCCCTCGTCATCCTCCCCCTGCTTCTCCCCCTCCTCCGCACTCCTCCGCCGCCTCCGCCTCTCCTCCTCGTGCTCCTCTGCCTCATCCATCCCCCACCCCCCACGGACAGCCGGACGACGTGAGAATGGATCACCGAAGCAGGACTCGGTGGTTCAACGACGGGATCTTGAGAAATGGGGTCCTAAGGACAGGAAGGGGTCCAAGGGTGGGCTTCCATGATCTGGGGTCCGCCAGGGCCGCTCGCGAGGCCGCTGGACTAGTGGCCTGTCCTTTTTCCCGGAAAGGGCATGAGCCCAGGGTTCTCTTTTAGTGGGTAAACCTGTCCCCCGGTGCCAACTTGAAGGAGGCCGGCGAATTTTTTCCCTGATAAATAACGAGGTCGAAGGAGGCCGGCGAATTAAAATTTGAGGATGTCTCGAGCGAAACGCTTGTTTTTGAAATCCCGATCGATAAATCACAGGGTGCGGGCCACTTTTTCGTGTGTTGAGGATGTCTCGAGCGAAACGCTTGCTCCGCAGAGTTTGCCGAGGATGTCTCGAGCGAAACGCTTGTTTTGCAGAGCCGACCGCGACGCGGAAAAGCGCCCCGCGCGAAGGAATTTCGATGATGTCTCGACTAATTCCTTTGTTTTTGTACGATTTCCTGGAATTTTGGCAGGATGTCTCGAGCGAAATGCACGACCCCACCCTAGCACGACCATACCCCAGCACGACCACACCCCAGCACGACCAGACCCCAGCACGACACCCACCCCAGCACGACCCCACCCCAGCACGACCCTACCCCAGACCACACCCCAACGACCCCAGCACGACCTCACACCCAGCACGCACGCTCACCACCCCACACCACCCCCACACGTCCCAGCACGCCACCACACACACGCCCCAGCACGACCACACCCCAGCACGACCCCACCCCAGCACGACCCCACCCCAGCACGACCACGCCCCAGCACGACCACAACCCAGCACGACCACACCCCAGCACGACCACACCCACAGCACGACACACACCCCAGCACCCCACACCCCAGCACGACCGCACCCCAGCACGACCTTACCACAGCACGACCACACCCCAGCACGACCACGCCCCAGCACGACCACGCCCCAGCACGACCACGCCCCAGCACGACCACGCCCCAGCACGACCACGCCCCAGCACGACCACCCCCCACGACCACCCCCCCAGCACGACCACCCCCAGCACGACCACCCCCCAGCACGACCACACCCCAGCACGACCACTCCCCAGCACGACCACACCGCCTTGGTTGAGTGGTTGCCTGTCGTCGTGGAATGTTTCGTGGGGTGTCTCGTGGAATGTTTCGCGGGGTGTCTCGTGAAATGTTTCGTGAGGTGTCTCGTGGAATGTTTCGTGAGGTGTCTCGTGGGCTGTTTCGTGAGGTGTCTCGTGGGATGTTTCGTGAGGTGTTGCCCAGTTGGGTATCATGAAAACGTGTCCATGCTCCACATGTCTATATCCCTTTCCGGGTTCGTGGGTCCATCATGTTGGGTGCTGCCTCAGAGCGCGGCCGCGAAAGGACGGGTGCGAGCACACCCGAACAAGAACAAAATTCAGGGGGCGGTCATACTGGCTGACGGGGTGCCCCCCCCCCAATAAAAAGGGTGGGCTTCCATGATGTCAGGCACCTCGTCCTCAGAACCCTCATCCTTGGGGACCCCATCTTCGAACCTCCGACGGGTCTCGGAGCCCCCGGCGGCCCGACGCGTCCGTTCTGTGTCTGTTGCACGGGGCCGCGCCTCCGCGAGGCCCGGGGCCCGGAGCGAGGCCGCGGAGCTGATGCTCGGCATCTGCGCCTGCGTCGGGCCGATTTGAATGTGCCTCCGAGCCTCGCGGGCTGGGCGGCCCCCCGCCCCCCCTCGCTCGTGTCCGCAACTGCGGCGGCCACGACATGGATGTGAGGCTTGCAGCTGGCTCCCTTTCGCTGTAGAGTCTTGGCAGCGCGCATGGCGAGCGAAGTATGGGCGAGGGTGGCGCGGGCGGGGTTGGCGGGATGGCGCGGGGCAGGCTCGCGAGCCACGCGTGCGCGCTGTGGGGTTGCATGGACAGTGTGGGCGGCCAGGACCAGCTGCAGAACACTGGTCGCCCAGTCGTGATGCTTGTGGTGCTGGCCCTGCCACAGAGGAGCAGCTGCAGAAGTTGTAGAGGCCCCCACCGCGCGCCAATGGCACGGGCACGGTGCCAGGAGCCAGCAGGCAGCAGGGAGCGGCCTCATGCTCCTTGCCAACCTTCACCCTCTGATCCCGATGGCCCTGCCGCCTTCGGTGCTCGTCTTCTGTTGCTCCCATCGTACTTAAGGACCACATCCCAGAAATAGCTTCGAGCTCCGTGTCGAAAGAGTGTCGAAACAGTGTCTCCCAGGGCCCGACACGTGAAAACCGTCGAGTTTTGGGGTGCGCTCGAAATTCTTTCTGGTGGTCAAGGCTAAAGTAGGTCGGAACATCATAATGCTCGTCCCTCTCCCGTCAATTGTTGGCGCAGCCTGTCCACTGCAATCTGGTCGTGCAGTCCCGTTCGTCGCCGCGTTCGCCCTGGTGGTCCCTGATAACGGATTCTAGCGGTCCCAGTTGGTGCACCCCCTCCTTTCTGGGAGCAGCCACCACTGAGCGGTGGATCGTGCTTGGGGTGGGTGGGGTGCGCCGGCTCTCGATCACGATGCGCCCGATGCAAAGGGACCCCCAGTGCGAAAGGAGGAGGAAGAGAAGGAAAAGGAGGAGGAGGAGGAAAAAGAAGAAGAAGAAGAAGAAGAATAAGAAGAAGAAAAAGAAGAAGGAGGAGAAAGATGAGGAAGAGGCGGAGAAGAAAAATCCGCGTGAGACTTCAACCTTGAACGTCTTCGCCGGCGCGCCAAAGCCGCATGAACCCACCGTGGATGGGGTCGGAGGACCGCGCAGCATCGCCGATACATGGGCGATGCACTGGCGACGCAGCGGCGATGCACTAGCGATGAGTCGGCGACGAATCGGCGTGGAGAAGAACGGCCTCCGCATCGAGCCGCATCGGCGATGCATCGGCGATGCGGCGTGATCCTCCGACCCCACCTGCTCCGACCCATCTAGGAGGCCTAGACCTTGAGCAGGGACCGACCGTCCCAGCATTCTTATAGTCCTACCACGAAATGCTTTTAGAAACCAAAAGTGTTCCAAGAACAAGAGCAATGTTCTGAGAACCTTGACGCGATTGTTTTAAAGCAAGACGCCTCAACCAGAAATGGTCTAAGAGCATCCCGTGCAAGCCGCAAAAGGTTCTCGGAACATGCTTGGGTAGGCCCATAGGCGAGCCGAGACGCTTCGCCACTGCTCGACAGGCCACCGCAGTGCAGCACACGGCGACGACGCACGCCCGCCGCGGCAGCCTCCCTCGGTCGGCGGCCGGCGCCTCGGCGGGGGCCTCGGTGCCGCTGGCCCCCGGGGCCCCGGCGTCCGCGGCCGCCCGGGGCCCCGCGACCGCGGCGTAGTCGGCCATGGCTCTGCGGCGAGGGGCAACGACAGGGGGGGAGAGGCACAGGGGGGGGAAACATCGACCTCGAATGGGCGACACGGCGCCGATAGATCGGCGACGGGCCCCCCGGTAGTGAACCCGCACGTTCCTGGGCAGGTTGGGGCTGTCGGGCCCCTATCGGCGATCAATCAGCGATGGGGGGTCGATGCATCCCCCCTACAGGGCAATTTCTAATACATAGGATTTAAAAAAAGCATAGAACTTTTAATATTTGACTAATTTATGAATAAGGTTGTGCACGAACTCATGGTTGTGTTTAACACTAAATCCCTGCACTTTTAATACATGATCCGCACGCGGAGCATGCATTAAAAACGGCACTGTATGCCTATCCCCCCCCTATCGCTGCCCCCGATTCGCTTGGCCCAGGCACTGCCGGGGCTCGGCCTCCGAGGCTCTCGGCAGGTCTGGACCCAGAGCGTCGTTTTTGTTCGTCTCGCTGCCGTTGCTGTTGCCCTCCTCCTCCTCCTCCTCCTCCTCCTCCTCCTCCTCCTCCTCCTCCTCCTCTTCGTCCTCCTCCTCCTCCTCCTGCCCTCCTACTTGTGGTGGTGGTGGTGGAAAACAGGTCCTCCTCTTCGTCCTCCTCCAAACCACCTCTCCGCCTCCTCCTCCGCACCTCCTCCTCATCCTCCTCCCCTCCTCCCCCTCCTCTCC